ACTTGAGTGAAGATGGTCACCCAACGATTGATGGAGTAGAACGGTGCCCGTGTGCGACCATGCAGTTTTTAACCGTGAGGAAGACTCGTTCACCACATGGACTTCCTTCTTTTGTAAGTTCACACATCGATATCGAGAGAACACAATGGACTCCTAGAATAGGTTCTTGTTTTTACCTACAATTTGTATAGTTTGCACTTGGTTCGCCAAGAGCATAAATCCAACTAAAATTAGCCTAATGATTAAAAACCCCGTCGCCACAACCATAATTAATATTGACGCTATAGAAACAGTATTCGAGTAGCAAATAGAATATCTGCTCGATACTAGACATACCTGCGTTACATTTACATTTTAAATTAAAACATTTGTTAGATGAAGGGTTTTAACCCCAAAACCCCAGGGAAAGATGACATTGAGCATTGACTTGATAGAACGTCAAAGATTTGAGAAGCTTACGGATGAAAGCGTGATTAATAAAAAAACTCTGTAAATACTATTGACGTTAAAACATGTAATGTAATCTAGTTTGTACTTTTATCTTTGCCGTTTAAAAAAAGACGCCGAAGAATGACTGCACCTTTATTGTGGAATTTAAAGTTTTTTTTTTTGATTTATTGACAACGTCGACCTCAGCGGCAATTGTGCATAAATCTGCCACTTTTGACCCGTAAAATTACACCACCATGCTAATTAAAAGGGAAATGAGGCATTCTTGTATACTTCCTGTGCAGTGCACGGTAATAGACAACGAAGTCTCATGACTACAAATAAAATTGTTGCAAACGGCTCCGGAAAAAGCCTTTACCCTGCTCTTACCACCCAATCGCAAAAACAATTTAACCAATCTGATTATCAAGGGCCAACTGTGTACATACGCAACAGTGCATGACGCCGTGTAAATTAAAGAGCGCTGTTGCGAGTTTTTCAGCTCCCTTCCCCAGCTACAAAGGGGGAAATTGGTTTTTGAACGCTTTCAAGATAGCCGGGCAGAGCGTGGAAAACTGTTTTAAGCCATCTTAACCTTATGTATTATCTCGCCAAACTTGCATAAATTCCGTTTTGAAAGAAAAATTATATTCAAAGATCCTTAGGCTGTTGTAATTAAGATAAAAAAAAACTGTTTCACTTAGCTACGATCGAACCTGTATTATTATTATGCATGTTCATATCTTGACTTTAGTTTCCACAGATTAGGGGTGTGACAAAAAATGATAAAAAACGCCACTTAAGCGATAATTTACCATTTAATATACAGAACCTCGAAAGAAAATACTACTTACTTTGATTTTGGGAGAGAAACATGGATTAACAATTATTTGAAGGATTATTCTTAGCCTTTTTAGAGTGGTCCCGCTTTCAGTGCTCGTTAAATAGAGGTCACATAGTATATGGCGGCTCTGGCGCATTTTACGAAAATAAATGATTCCAACCGCTTTCAGACATACTGTTTCCCGTATTCTTTACCATATTATCGTAAATAACATGTTACAAAGATGGAGAATTCCGAAAATCTTAAAGGCTGCTGGTTTCCGAGAAAAGAGAAAGAATATTGGCATTCTACCCTCGCGATAGCGTCATTGAAACAGGTAGTCGATTAGGGATTTTCCCTAAGAAATGAGTGTCCTATCACGGACACTCCATAAATTCCACCTTTATGTCAGTCATCTTTAGCATAGCATCTCAAGACAGAACTGGAGATGTGAAATAATGACAAGGACCTAGCTTATAATATTGTAAACAGGTGTTTCTGAAGTTTTCAAATACAAGCTACTGCTAGAAGAAGAACATCAGATCCAAGATAAAGATCATGCTCTTCTCCCATCGATTTGACGTTAAATGTTTGCCATCAGTACTTTCTGTGCATGTTCATATTGTTCATCAGGTATGTGCTCATCATTCAGAGTGCTGTAGAAATCATCTTTAAAGTTCATTAAATTTTTCAAAACTGGCCATCTAGTCATATGAATAGACACCCTTCTAACACAACGAATATATAGAAACGTATTTGTCTACGATCCTCGCAGTAAAGAGCACTATTTAAGCTTTAGTGAAAATCAGACCCGAAAAAATTCAGGCCTGTACGGGATTCGAACCACTGACCTCTGCGATACTAGTGGACCGCTCTACGAATTGAGCTAACAAGGCAACTGGGAGCAGGTCATCAAATTAGTCCGACATAAACCCTTCCATCAAATTAGTCCGACATAGCCACCTTTCTGTTTCCTACTTGTGAAGTATACCTTAAGGCCACATCTGGTAGATCACTCAAAAGTCTGTCCAAACTGCTAAACATAAACTGGAAACTATCAAGGAATACCAAATGTTGGCCTAACATAAATGACATATACTTTTCCGTGATGTTTGGAATTACATTAATTGCCATCTGTTTTTGGAATAACATTAATTGCCATCTGTTTTTGATTACCACTATCATCTTCATAAGTATGATTATTTGCGATTTTCCAAACTCTTGTATGATGAAATGGCAATCATACCCTCTCAGATAAAGGAAAATAACGGGAGTCATCATATTTTTGACATCAATGTTAAGTTTCAAATTACAGTCTTGATGAGCTGATCCTCTGTATTTTCCTGTTATATGATAATGGTATCTGACTCTGATATCCTTCGTTTTGCATAATCTGTTGCAAATATGACAATGTTTAGCATTCTTGAATTCTTTTTCATCTTTATCTGTCATCACTACAGGTTTGTTAAAGTGTATGTTGGCAGTTTTGAGGCAGTATTCAACTTCTTCAGTCATCTGCTCTATAAACTGATATACAGCATTTTCACCTCGATGTACCTGTGATGGCTTGCTGTAATTATCATCATAAAAACATACAACCTTAAAGCCATAACCACAATCGGTATGTTTGTGTGATTCTTTTCAGTTATTGCTTTTAAATCTGCATAGATAACAAAAGGTATAAGCAATTGTTTGTAATGATTTGTGAATCTGATATTTTCTCAATTTTTAGGCATCTTCGAGGCCTGTTATCCATTAATTGTGATACAGTTTTCTTTGTGATCATTTAATATCTTCTCAGTGCTGAACATTGCAAACATTGATGCAGGTGTTTTCTGTGTTTCACGCTTTGATTAGCTAGGCGTCAACCGGTTGAAATCTTTGATGAGCACATTGGAAGAAATTATAAAAGAAATTTCTCGGAAACCAGCAGTATTTCATATTCTCGACATTCTTCATTTTTGTAACGTGTTATTTGACAATTATTCCACGAGCGCGCGTTGGATATGAGATGATAGATAGCCAACGAGGCGCGTAGCGCCGAGTTGGCTATAATCATCTCACATCCAACAAGCGCGAGTGGAATAATTGTTTTATTAAAACCGCCCCCCAAGATATTAGACAAATCTTACCAAATCTTAAATTTTTTAGCTCCCTTTCAATTTTAAGCTGACGCATACGCTTACCATATTTGTAGATTATGGTATATTGGCTCCTATACCATAATGGCTAAGCCAATAAAAAGTCTTAAATTGCATTATCCAATGATCCAGTTTTTAATAATTACTGTTATATCGTAAACAATATGATTTNAGGTTGGCTATAATCATCTCATATCCAACAAGCGCGAGTGGAATAATTGTTTTATTAAAAACGCCCCCAAGATATTAGACAAATCTTACCAAATCTTAAATTTTTTAGCTCCCTTTCAATTTTAAGCTGACGCATACGCTTACCATATTTGTAGATTATGGTATATTGGCTCCTATACCATAATGGCTAAGCCAATAAAAAGTCTTAAATTGCATTATCCAATGATCCAGTTTTTAATAATTACTGTTATATCGTAAACAATATGATTTTCGCGTACCAGAAGAACGATTTAAATTGATCATCGAGTTGGTCTTCTAGAAATGGGAAATAGTAGTTTGAAAGCGGTTTGAATCATTTATTTTCGAAAAAAATGAGCCAGGACCGCCATATACTATACTACTCTTAATAAAGGTGAAAATTACAGTGATTAAGTGGAAACAAATTGAGGACTTTGACCACTGACTGCTTAATGAAAGGTGACTGCTTCATACGGTGCGGCTTAATACAAGTTTGACTGTAGTAATTGAAAGACAAGCGGAGAAAAATAGCCCCAGAAACAAACAAAAAGAGATGTTTTCATGCATGTCTCGAGAGCTTGATTTCTCAAAGTGCTGCTAAAGAAGCATTTATTCCTTCCACTTTCATTTGCTACCACAAAAAAAACTTGTTATGTGGAAGATAACAAGTAGAGAAAGATTGGGGTTGCGAAAAAACCGCCTCTGGGGTGTAAACAAATCTCAAGTGTTCGTAGGGGCTTAAAAAATTGGAGCCTTCGTTTGTTTCTGTAGCGGAAGAAGGAAGTTGTTAATCAAATTAAAAGCCTGGCTCGCATCTGTAGACCATTTTGAATGGAATTCGTAGTTCCTTCACGCTTTTTGGATGCTGTATCTTCCATAAGGGTTAGGTTTAGTATTAGGCGATGTCTAAACCCAATTAACAGCTGAGAGAAATAATGACCAGCAGTTGTGTCGATGACAAACGTCACCGCGAGGCATGTGTAAAATGATCAAAGACTTCTTGGCCTTTCGAGTGGCCGTAAAAATAGAAGCACAGAAAACATAAAAGTATCTCAACTTGGACGAGGAAAACGCAAACTACTTTCTCGACTACATAAAACTAAAATTACGACTTCATTTCGCAAGTGACTGCCCACTACACACGAAGACTCGACATGAAAATTTTTACCCCATGATAAACGCATTTGTACTGGTAATCGTGCTAAAAAATTAAATTCTTAAACACCTATTGCTGGACACCGAGCCCTAATAACGTAAAGATAAAACTCGTTAGTAGGGGTTATTGAAGTCCAATATTTTGCCAAAAAGTTAAAGTGGCTTTGAGTTTTTCTTGAAACAAATACTTTACCATTGTGGTAAACTGAAATGATCATAAGAAATTCCCCAATTATCATGAGCCACTTTTGATAGAAACAAACCTTGTTCAACTTGAATACGCTCTCTGAATTCTTCCGGATCAGTTTGTTCCTTGATCATTTCCGCTATGGTCGTATCTGAAAATAAGGATTCATATCTCCCTTAAACCTTTTAACTTATCCTGAATCTAAAAGAATCGCGTCCCTACTGTTGGCTTGTTTATGCCAATGGTCCACCTATTCCAAAATTGGAGCTTCACGAATTTATCCACGACACAAGGAACCAACAGAAAAGCTTAAAATTGGATCAACATTACATACTTCATCGACCATGCTTGTTTGAAAATGATGGTTTGATTTTTTTTTTTTATGTATTATTAATATCGGTAAAAACGAGATTGATGTCCAGCCAAACGGTTAAGAGGAAGGTTAGTGCATTGTATTATTAATCACTTGAACAAATGACTGAAAGGCGCACAAAACTACAAAAGTGTTGCCGTGAAAATCCTAATGAGTAGCCACCAATCACTTCATACGAATATCTTGCATGTTAGACAATTTGTAGAAAAGGATGAACATCAGTTTTGACTCCATGGCTTAGCTTTTCACAAGGTGGATAAATCACTATCAAGCAGATATGTTTTAGAGTTTTATCCACAGCTTTGTTCGCCCTTCAAACAGTCTAGTCCAATATGATACGCTTATTCACTCACGTGTTGCAAGAGACGCTTTTGCTCTTTGCATAAATGGAATCCTCTGAACATACTGCTTCATTTCTCCAACTGTTTTGGCACTTTTGTGCTCCTGGTGAAGCAAAATGTCCATTGAAAATGAAAATCCTGAGCAAAGCTGTGAGATAAATGAAAGGAGTCAGGCAAGACATCGAAAGAGCTGAAAATAGCAATTTTCAGTGAAAAAAAAGAATTCGGTCATTTCACATAACTTTCTATAACAGCCACTGATGTAAATCTATCTCCAGAGATGAATTTCGATTTCAAAAATCACACTATTCTTGCGTATTCTAGGACCGCTTCTCTTCTTGGTTTATATTAATGATCTTCCTCTGGCTATAAAGAATTGCAAGATGACTTTGTATGCTGATGACACGGTCCTGTACTACTTTGCTAAGTAGCCACACCTGTTGGAAGAGCACTGAATGATGATCTCTTGCAAGTTGCCCAGTAGCTACATGGAAATAAGCTAACTTTGAATCTTACTAGGACGAAATCCGTGATTATAGGTAGTAATAGGAAACTTGTTGGTATTTCCTCTTTCTCATTATCTATTTTTGACACTGATATAAATTCTGTAAATAGTTTTAAATATTTGGGAGTTATGTTGTCCTCAACTTTTTCATGGTGAGACCATGTTGAGTATATTTCATGTACGGTTAATAAGAACCTTGGTCTTTTACGTAGGATTAAGTATTGTTTACCTTATAATGCCCGGTTACTTTTTTTATAATAGCTTAGTGCTACCGGTACCTATTTTTGATTATGCTGATTTAGTCTGGGGTGACAAGGACAATGTCACACTAATGAAGGAATTGCAAATTCTGCAAAACAAAGCAGCTAAGTTGATATTAGATAGATCACTTCACTCCTCATCCACTGATGCATTAACAGTCTTGAGATGACTAAATCTTGAAGAACGTAGGAAATGTCATGGATGTATATATGCATACAAGTGTATTAATGGCGAAATTAATCATTCTTTGGACATTTTAAGAGTGATATGCACTCCTACAATAAGCGCAGTAACGATACTATAAAGCTCCCCAAAATCAAATACAATTGGGGAAAACATCGTTGGCGGTATCACTGTTTCAAAGATTTTAATGAGTTAGAGAGAACTGTAAGAAACTGAGTAAGCTTGCCAATTTTTAAGAAGTGTCTCTTTTCAGCTTTTTATAATTAAGTATTTTTTTAAATTAATCTTTGCAGTGTATATGTTGTAATCATTTTAATATTTTGATTTTAGCTCAAATTTTTATATTTTAATTGTATTTTTATATAATACACATCTAGTATTTAGGACCTCTATGTAAACCACTATTGTGATGGAGCTTCCTTATAAAAGATTGTTATTATTATGGGAATGACCGCTTCAAATCAGATGACCATCATAAATCTTGAAACTTAATTCTTGCATTGACAGGCACACAATTTCTTTCCAAGGTGTGAAATAGAAATATAATCCAATGGATTTGAACACATAATTTTTTTTCTGGGCTCTATAATGTGAAAAAGACACTTGGGATGTTGGAAGAACACTTGGAAAGCTTATAAATCAGTGACGGATCCAGGAGGAGGGTCCGGACCCCCCCCCTATCAGACCTGACGCTTACAACTTTGAGACTGAAATTCTTACATCCGCAGGATCGTATATCACTTTTTAACTGGCTGATTTTTTAAATTAATGAATCCAAGTAAACGGTAAGCAGCCAAGGAATTATAACGTGCAACCGCGACTGGTGGGAGGGGGTGTGGGGGGTGTGGGGGAGAAGTAATTTGCCTCAAAAGTGTCCAACAGTCCTTTCTGAACCAAAGTTTGGACCCCCCCCCATCAAAAATTCCTGGATACGCCCCTGTAAATCTTGAGCCGAAGTGTTCTTCCACAATCCCACATCGCCTTATTGTGCTATAGAGCCTGGAAATAATGTGTTCTATGATTGCTTAGATATAGGCCTCCTTTAAACCTTAAGCTCTCAAGATCCAACAAGTTATTCTTGCAACTAACTGCCATACACTACCTTGTGAATGAAACAGGAGAATTCCATTTTAAATCAAATTCACTCTCTGTTCTCATAAACACTTATCAAATTGAATGTAATGTATTGAAAATCACAAATAGAAATTACAAGACTATAGTTAATCACCTCTTGGAATTAAATGGTTAAATCTGTCAGGCGACAACATTCAAGATAGCTATTTTTCTCTTTCAACCCAATACCTTGGCATTTATTGACCAGTTCAGAATAAGGTACAAAAATCTTTGATAATCGCCAAAGATCTTTTTGTTCATGAACTGACCTCGAAGGCAGCACTAATCTGTTTGGCTCTTCTGCTCAAGTGAATTCCCACAGCAGAGAAATTTAGATCTCGAATATCATAGAACAGCTCATCACTGGAGTTTAAAACAACTTTCTTGGGTCCACTGGGTTGTTGTTGTTGAAGTCCTCCAGGTCCTTTCTCTTCAGTTTGAGGAAATCTTTCAGATGGAAACTTTGCCGTGGCTTGAAAGAGAAAATACAAATAAAACAGACTTACAGCGTATTGCTTTCTTCATTAAAATGCAAGGAATTTATCACTGTATTATGAGATCAACTTTGGATTCAATTAGCTACAAGTTAGAATACTCTTATGACTCCAACTATGACACAAACTACCACTTTGCTGCCTGCAAAAATCAGCCTTAACTGTATTTATTTAGTAACCATTGAGCTGCTGTAATCTTCAACTCAATAGTACTTGTACTTACTGTGGTGTATTCCATACAATTCATCTATCAGTCCTTCATAAGTAAGTTGAGTGAATAATGGGGTCAGTAAGTCAACATTACGATCAATTAACAGAAGTGTGTCAATTTGAGGTGAGACTTGGTTTTCTGTATCAGCTGCCTCTCGTTTCTTGCGCATCATCATATCTAAGACATGCTGTTAAGAATATTGGAATTGTAACAATTTAATACAATAAAAAATCTATAATAAAAAATAAATGCATACTATTATTGATTGACAAATTTAAACCTATATCTTACCCTGTGTGAAATGAAATTATAAAAAACTATACAAATTTCATTTAACTGACAAAAGTAGTTGCAATTTAAAATAAAATAAGTTGCAAAATAACTCTTCAACAAAATTTCACTTTGAGGAGCAAAAAAGTTTCTCATAACTAAAAATACTCTTAAAGAGAATTGAGAGGCATAAAAAATTCTTTATCTTAATAAAATCAATCAACATAAAATGAACTATTAATGAGGTTTTACATCAATTATCATTTAGAAGTGAACTGACTACAGTGATACCAAAGAATATGTTTGAAGTGGTAACTTACAATTTTACATTATATGATCAATGCAGGAAATGGAGTTTTATTTTCTCTGGAAATATTTTTCAAAAACACTTACTTTATTTCCATCATTCTATAAATATCCTTGCACCTTGATCAATCTTACCTTTGACATCTTTCCCTTAGCATAAATCTTGGGGATTGTGCCATATAATGTTTGAAGTGTCATCAAGGAATTAGCAACATAAAATAATGATGTAAAGTCATTTTCCAGGTAACACTCCTACAAAACAAATAAACAAAATTTACAATTAGTGAGATCTGGTCTTGAATCATATATTGAAAAGTGATACAGTGACCATGAAGCAGAATATACTGGTAACAAGTACATAACTGACTAGAACAGCTGACCAGTAGTTGGAAATACCAACTTTTCATCTAGTAAAACACTATTACATGATCACAAACTGTCCTTATGCAACACTCTCTTTTAACTAAAAATCAATTTAATTGCACTTTTTCCAAACTAACAGACTTCACTACTTCCAATCTATATAAATAACTATACATTGGCAATGTAAGAAGACTACTTGTTATGCTTGCTTTTACAAACTCTTAAGAGAAGTTAGGGAAAAAACAACAATGAAAATGCATCTAAACTCTATTAAAAAAAAATTGCAAAACTCAAAATTCAGTAATTCATATAGTATTGGCATGATTTAAGTTCCAGAATTTACCTTGAAGCTGGATTCCATCTCAAGTGACAAGACATCACCGTCCAATGGTATCAGCTCAAGAGGATATTCATCAATGTTGATGAAAGATACCTTCAGTTCCTAAAAACAAAACAGTGCTATAAAAAAAATCATAACATACCCTAATATTTCCAGTACACATCCCCAAACTTACAAGTACAGTAAATATTGAGTTTTGTGATGAGCTTGGCTCACCTTGGAGTCTCTGTAGCCTAGTGGTAGGGCATCAGATCGCAGAATCCGAAGGTCTGAGATTCAATTCCTTGTGGGGACTCAATTTTTTTTTCTGTCCCACACTTGTGACAAGACAAAAAAATCATCTTTCTAATAAACTTACCATCTTTCTCGTTCTGTTAACTAACTGGATGTGCTCAAAAGATACTGTACAGGCATCTCCTTGAATAAGTACCCATGCCTCTCCTGAATACCAACCCCTTTCATGCACCTTGGCTAAATTAGGCACACAATGAAAGGTATTCCTATTGTCACTCTATCTAATTTTTTTAAGCATGAATAACAATTCCAGCAGCATCACTATATCGTCGAAGAATAAATTATACGTCTCTAGTTGCCTGTGTAACATGAATGCTATAATTTTTACCGTCATGTTAAGATTTAGCCAAAATATAATCACAACTCTTGATAAAAGTACTTAATTAGAAACATGCTTCCAACAAGTGCCTTAAATTTTTACCTAAATCTTAAATAAGCCTGCAGTTGCCTACTCAGGGAAACATGGTTACCCTGGTTCTTCATGTTCCCAACCTATATTAACCTCAAATCATGGCCCAGGATTGCCCTTAACCACAGCTGTGGATTACGATAACATGAACAATAACAATAACAAAGATATAAAAGGTATCAAGTATGTCTAAAAGTCTATGCAAGTTGAAGACTCACCTCAAGTTTTCTTTGACATAATAAAGTCTTTCTTGGAACAAAGAGGATAGTAAACTCTTTTTTCTTGCTTTCAGTCTTGCCTTCCTCACTGAATCACAGAGGAAAACACTTAGCAACCTTCTTTGGCAGTACCTAGTATTTCATCAAACAGACACAAGGCTGTGCTCTAAGAAAAAGTGAAGGGAGCCCATTGGTCTGAAACTTTGAAATACAGGGTGCCCAGCAGATGCTTTTATATGAAAAAACTAAAATTCCTAAGTCTCCCAAGAGTGAAAGTAAGGTACCAGGGGCCACCAGGGGCCACCAGGTGCTGCTAGGCCACAGCCCTGAGAAGACATGAGGCCTTTAGGCCCCAGTTGTTTGAAGAGTGGATAATGCTATCCACTGGATAATTAACAATTATTCCATGAGTGCACGTTGGATATGAGATGATAGATAGCCAACGAGGCACCTCATTGGCTATAATCATCTCATATCCAACAAGCGCGAGTGCAATAATTGTTTTATTAAAAAAAATGCCCCCGAGATATTGGACAAATCTTCTCGACTTTATTTTTGTAAGAAGAAACCGGATGTTACAATGTACAGATATTAGATTATGGTATATTGGCTCATATACCATAATGGCTAAGCCAATAAAAAGTCCTGAATTGCATTATCCAATGATCCAGTTTTTAATAATGTGCCAAGTACATGTTGTTAGCACTTATCCGCTGGAAAGTGATTTATCTGTTGGATAGTGCTCTCCGCCCTTTGAACAACTGGGGCAAGATTGACATTTTGATCCTCCTCATACTCTCAAGCTAATAGGTAAAGAGAATGAAGATGATTTTCAACTTATAGCATTCTCTCTTGCTGATAATCAGCTTTCAGATAGTTGCTGTGTAACAATTATGGCTAAAAACATTTAGTGTTGTCAATCAGACATAGACTGTATGGCAAATTGGGATAAACTAGGCTCTAAAATAATATTTTAATTGATTAAAACAAGTTTACTAATTTTGTTAACAGGAGAGAACTTTTCTAAACTAGGTGGTAAACAAAGTAAACTAAATATTATTTTAAAAAAAAGATCTGACATGGCAACAACCATCCTGAAAATATTCCTCAAATGTACCCCCAAAAACATCATAACATGGCCATATTGTGGTGTACACTTGATTCTAGAACTGCAGTTAGGAATATAACAATAATAATAATAAATAATAATAATGAATATATTATACAGGATAGCCCTTCAGCGCATAAGCACCGTTATCAATGGGGTCCTGTCTAAATAACATAACATAAGGATAAAAACTAGAATAAGATAAGAATGACTAGTACGCAACTAACTAAATGCCCTATACAAAAAATTGATCTAAAGACTCCCTAAATAGTACCCTACTGCTAATTTGGTTGATTTTTAAAGGTAAAACGTTAAAAGCTAAAGCTCCTAAAAAATAAAAACTTTTCCGAGCAAATTCAAGTCTCACTTTTGGCAGAGCAACGGTGGTCCCTCTGTTCCTCGTATTAAAATCATGGTTTAACAATTTAAAATATTATTTGAAAGGACTACAAACATTGCCTTTTAGGCAAGCAAAAACAAATAAACAAGCCTTTTTCTTTAAAAATTCTCAATTGTGGGTAGACAGAGTTCACAGGTTAGACACTTTGAGTTTTGCAGAATAATCCTGTGACTACCTTGTTCCAGGTTTCTTATTTGGCACCTTCGTGTCTCTGACCAACCAAGCATAATTTGACCGCAATAAGTGAATATGGGCATTATCATTGCTCTGTGGATTCATTCAGTGCTTAAGGTGTCAGTGTTAGAACGGATTTGTCGTAATAAATTCACTCTTCCTGCAGATTTCTTGTATGTTTTGTAAAAGTGCTTGTCAAGATTCAATGTAGAGTCCAGATAGACACCTAGGTACTTGTAATTTGTAGTCGTGTCGATGCGAGATCCATTTCCTGAGAGGTTTAGTTCTTTGCCATTGAAACCACTTAATCTTTTTTCTGTTCCGAATAGCATTACTTCAGTTTTTCCTTTTTTGAGATTAATGATAAGTTCGTTATCTCGAAACCTGGAGGCGAGGCTATTGATGTCTTTGCTGAGGTTGTGTTGGATAATATCCAAGTCTTTCGAGGATGTGAAAATTACTGAGTCATCTGCATTGGTGATAATCTTAGAATAATGGAGCAGCTTGTGGACATCATTAAAATGAATTAAAAACAATAACAGCCCGAGAATACTTCCTTGGGGAACACCTGTGAAAACAGGGTTAGGTTCTGACAATACTCCCTTAAATTGAACGATTGGCATTAGAGGAATAAATAGTCCGTAAACCAGTTCAGTTCATTATCCTGTATTCCATACCCAGACAGTTTTTCCAACAAAACAGAATGGCTGATGGTGTCAAACACTTTAGACAAGTCAATGAAGATCGCTCCTGTAGCTTTACCTCCGTCCGCTTCCTTCCAGATAATGTCTGTAAAGAGAGTTACTGCTAATTCCGGCGAGCGATTGCGGCGATATCCAAACTGATGTTCATGGGGAAAACCGTTGAATTCGAGATATTTTATTAATTGTTTGTGCACTGTTTTCTCTAAAATCCTTGACATAGTAGGGAGAATCAATATTGGTCTATAGTTGTCAATTTCTGCCATGGAACCAAAATTAAAGATGGGAATCACCTTAGCCATTTTCCATTCAGTAGGGACTACTCCAGTTGCAAGGGATGAATTAATTATAAATATTAAAGACTTTGTGATGACTCCTGCTGCATCTTTAAGTAATCCAGGGGGGAGATTATCTAAACCAGTCGCTTTCTTCCATTTAAGTTTTTTCAGCTCGGTAAGAATCTCTTCTTCTTTCACAGCTCTAAAAAGGAATTTCTCTTTTACATGTGGGAGTGTCATTCCGCTAGGGTTGCTCCAAACAAGGTCACGAAGCAGAAACAACTTCTTTTTCAGTTTTATAGCAACATTAGTAAAGTAGTCGCAGAAACTCTCAGCGATGGTTTTCTTATCAGTTGTCTTCGTTCCGTTTATTTGAAAAACTGATCCTTACTCTGAGGCTATCTTTGTAGGGTACAGCTTTTTAATGGCAGACCAAAATTTATCAGGAGAGTCAGCACTGTCTCTGAGAATATCTTGATGAGATTTACTCTTACATCTTTTAATGAGGCCTGTCTCTCTGTTACGCTGACGTTTGTACTAAGACCAGTCATGTTCACAGTTGGTCCTGCGAGCTTTCCTGAGTAAACCATCCCTCAAGTTCATTTCCCGTTTGACCTCTTGAGTTAACCATGGACAGAGTCACCCTCTAACCTTCATATATATCTTCTATATATATCTTATTAGACATTTTGTTGTGTAGTATCGCTAAGTATTTTATGAGTAGGGCTCGTCAAAATACAAACAACAAGTAAAAATACTCAGCGATACTACACAACAAAACGTCAAATAAGAGATTTATTATCCATCACGCCCAATCATTATTTCAGTGCGGGCAAATTTTGTGGATATTTCTGGAGTACAAATGTTGCATGATATTTGTACCCATCTCACACATTATTTGTACTCTGCAACGCACAGTTGGATAGTAATTTCAGATACTCCTTTGTATCTACTTTATATTAGGTAGTGTAGATAGCCTTATCTACTCTATCTGGTCTAACAGTGCAGAGAGTTGTACTTGACTTAGAGAGCGGAAATACGTGTACCTATATCTATTGTACATGGTGTGGATAGCTATATCTAGAGTCGATAGTGCAGATAGCTGTATCTTTGTTAGACCTAAATATAGATCTTTGTATTGTATTGCATTCCATAATGTTACAGAGAGCTACTACTGTAAGAACATTAACAATTTTCCTATGCTCAATCGCCTCTTAAATCTACTTTCCTGCATAAAAGTAAAAGAATTAAATACTGTAGACATAGACATAGATCTTTATGTCTATGAGTGTGTTGCATTACATAGTGTTACATAGAATTACTACTAACAGTACTGTAAGGACATTTCCCATGACTCAATCCTGTCTGAAATCTACTTTCCTAAGCAATAGTAGAATAACTACTTACCAGTATTTTATGGTAAATATACTATCTTGATCATTGAAGAAAAGAGAGTTGAATTACATTAATGAGAGGAGTCACATGACCTATCAATACTCTACAGTATCTAACATAGACAGTATAAATAGCCATATCTATTCTAAACAGAATAGTTAGCTGTATCTAAAATTAGACAATGTACGCACCTGCATCCACTGTAAAACAGTGTTGATAACTGTTTGTGATCTGGACAGTGTAGCTAACTGTATTTACTGCACAGAGTGCTGATCTCTCTATCTGAGCTAAATATTGTAGATAACTGTATCTAATGCAGACTT